GGGATAGGCATCTCACCCCTATATATATGGGGTGGGCTTTTCTTGTTGAACACGATCATTCTATTTTTCACTCTTGAGAATTGATTGAACAAACACTGGCTTAAGCTTTGGAGGCTCTTCACCAGAAAACCCCTCCGGTGTGAGAGTTCTTTGTAGGTGCACGACGCTCAGCCGACGAGAAGGAAGGCGATCACTCGAGTTCCAGCCGGTCGGAGAGTTTTGTTTACCATATTGCATGTGTATATGGAAGCTACAATCTAATTTCTAATTTGTTTATAAGCTCATAGATTATTCAGAATAATATAACAAAATAATAAAAATAAAATGATTCTCATAATCTAGCATAAAAGATGTATCTCTTCCAATGATATTCAGCTCAAACCACAAAATTTCAACTCTAAATAATTCCACCCCTTCAATTTAACATCCCTGCTAAATAAATAAATAAATAAATAAATAAAAAATCCACGCATACCTGTGCAGGCGATCCATAACTCTTCATACAAAGCATTCTTTACTCCGTTTCCTGAATAATCACAAAATAACCATCATCTTCCAATCATTATCTACCAAATTTGACAAAAAAACATAAGTGAGAAGATTATAATATAGGACGCTAATTGGAATATCATTTTCCAACCACAAAATTATAATTTCTTAAGGTTTACAAACCAAAAGTGGTTACAGGTACTAGAATCTATAATCTTTATGTGTAAATTGCAGCAATGAGCATTAACCCAGAAGAAAAGAGAGAAAGTAACCAATTCAAACCATGTTTAACACAAATAGAAAAACAAAAGAGAGAAATGAGCACAACATAAATTCTTCCATAAAAGTATACAAATATTAAGAGCAATAAAGTCTAGTTAACATGATAGTTAATCCATCAGAATGCAGTATGCTCTAAGTCGTAAATTAACAAACCTAACTGTAAAAAAACTGCACTTCGAAAACTGTTTCTCATCAGAAAGACAGATCCTGAAAGTACTAAACCAGTATAAGCCAAACTATGAGTTTTGAAGGATAATGACCAGGTAATATAATTTAGGAAAAATTCAACTCAAGTAATTACCAAAGTTGAATTTCCATTATCAGCATCGAACATGCTCAGGGCTTGCTTCCACGGGCAACCGGCTCATCTTCCTACTCCTGCTTCCACCTTCATTCATCTTACGACTAACATTATTTTTGTAATGCAATTACAACAATGACGATAACATTCGAAATTCTGAATGGAAAAAACAAATGAATGCAGACAAATTTACACCTTAAATATTTTTGTGAATCAGGCTAATTGTTTACCTCGCGGAACAAATTGAACTTGAAAGTAAACCAGTGCCGAAATTGAGCCACTACACGCGGACTTCGACCTATCCATTGTTTTTTTCACATAGTCCACGCAGTCTCAGCGACTCAAATAACCTTCACACAGACCAACACATATACCGACAGATACGCACTCGCTTAGTACCTACCGCTTTGGGGAAAGAGGATCGATCATGCAAAAAATAATAATTCACTCGTCCAACAACCGAGAATGGCCAGAGATTAAGAACCCTAGGTTGTTCCGTAGGTTGTTCCCAGAATTAAGAACCCAGTGACAAATCCGAGATCCAGAAAAGAAGCAAAGTCACTGAAAACCCACTTCCTCAAAACATTCCATCACTTAAAAACCCCCAAACCCAGCACTAATCAAGGCAAAACCAGAGAGATAAAAAGCCCCCACCAAAAACAAAAATATACCAATTACAAAAACTAAAGACAACAAAGATTCGAACTTTATGCAATACCAATTAAAAAGAACCTTAAATTGGCTTATAGAAGTTGCAATCTAGAAATTCTTGCTTCTATCTGGAGTGACCAAGAGCTCTCATAAACGTTGGCGGACGCGTCGGAGGAGCCAATTAATTCTGCATGAAGGTCGTTGTGCCATGGTTGGAAGCGTGGGGTACGCGAAGCACCATTCTGGAGTGGGCGTACACCTACAGAATGGCCCGGGTCCTGGTGGTGACCCGTCGGACCTTTACCTTTGCGCTCTCTCTCTCTCTCCCTTCGAACTCCAGCGGCGTGGCCAAGTGGAAGATGCCGTAGCAGCCGTTGACGGCTGCAGTGAAAGTGTCGGTAATGCCAGATCTGCCGAGGACAAATTCCAGAGGTGGCGGCTGCTACTGATACTATTGTATTTGGTGCTAGAGTGGTCGTGGCGGTGGCCGGGACTGAATCCTTCGTGATGGCGGCAGTGGGTGTTGTCCATCGGTTGAGTCGTCGCCTTTCTGAGGTGGTTACGGTGACGACAGAAGCTTGAGCTAGTGGTGATGGTTGGAGCCGCTGACGTGAATCCATATGGGAGAGGAGGGCTAGGTTTGAAATTTGTAGAGAATGAATTGTTTTTCTCGGAGAGTGACCGACTAAAATAGGGAAAGTGACTTGTGCGGGAAATGCGGAAAGCGACAGACTTGTGCGGGAAATGGGGGAATGACCGACCCCAAATGATGACTGATTTAATTTACACTACATAAATGGCAAAGCTGTAAATAAAGGATAAAAGGAAGGGCATTTTCGTAAAAAAGAACACATGTCGGCTCGTGAAGGCACAACATTGTTGGCTTATACATATAGGAGAGATATACATAATAATTTAAATCAGTTATTTTGGTTAAATAGTTTAATTGACCGGCTAAATCAATCATTTATGTTCAGTTTTAATTTAGAATGTGATAAAAAAATACTATCGGTTCAATTAATGTATGCTATACTGCATATTAAAAACTAAAGTCGTGCACGATATCATTAGATAAAAATTCACATTAGTGTCTCACAATCTGCACACTATAGTAATCAAATTTGATATATTAAAATTTACGGTTCGAAACTTTATATGTCAGTTTACTTATCGTTTTATATTCTTAAGTTTTTGGTTATTACGGTTCAATGTCAGTTTTTTTTTTTTCACTTATCAATATTTTATATTTATTAGATTTTTAATAATTTATTATACATAATTAAACCATTAATTAATTTGTATTATAATTAAAGTTTTTTTAAAAAAAAATGCAATTGGTAAAATAGTTGATTTATCTCCAAATCCATTTCATCCTCCAAAATAGATTTCACGAACAATAAGAACAAAGAAAATTATGGGCGACATCTCATTGCTATCTTCAAATCGACGTCGACGTCTATGACCAGCGTGGCAGATTGTTAATTTGTCGGAGGTGTTCGATTGACAACACACAGAGAGATATGGACGACGTCTATGGCAATTGCCTGAACTTGGATACCGAAATTGACCGCAACACACAAAGAGGAGATGGACGGCGCTGACGGCATCCGAGACGAAGATTGACAGCGACGCTGGTGTTGGTTGGAGAGGCTAGATGGCGGTGGTGATAATATCAAACGGTGGCTGTGCAGTGGCGATGTAGCTGTGCGTCGGCGGGTATGTTTGCGACTGTGGTAGGGTTGGTGGTGGCTGGTGTCGATGGCGGGGCCGGTGGTGTTTCGAGTTGGTGGCGGGGCTGGTGGTGGCTGGGAGATGGATTGGTGGTGGTTGTTGGCGGGGCTGTTGGTAGTTAGTGGCTGGGCTGGTGGAGGTTGGCGGTGTGGCTACTGGTGGTTGGTTGCGGGGGTGACAGAACAGGCCAGTGTGCCGATAGCGGTGGTCGGAGGTCGATGGCTGGAGGTGGAGGTGGTGCATCGGTGGTTTCACTGGTTTGTGTGTTCCGTTAAATGTGTGTGTATGTGTGTAAGATATGTGTTAGTGTGTGAGAGATGGGGTAGGTTGTGTAGGGCCCACTAGGTGATATGGAAAAACTTGTAATAATGACTAATATACCCTTAATGTGTGGTTAAATGCATATATTTGACAACAATATGACCATTTAATTA